TAATATTTAATAAATAAATTTCGTAAATTAATAATTCGTAATTTTAAAAAATCAGCAATATTTACATAGAAATTTGGACGGACACGAAAATCACAATATACATACGTATTGTATATATATTATACACTTAAATATGTCTACATAATTACTATGTAGGTTACAGCTACTGTTATTTACAGTGATAGATATGCTACTATACGGGGATAAATAATGTATACATTGTAAAAAAAATGTGACTCTACCAATTAACTACCTCGGTGGCTGAATAGTTTGGTAAGCATGGTTGCTGGTTTGCCACGCAGAGGTCACGAATGAGATTGTGGTTGTCTATGTGTGTGTCTATGACACCCACGATCGAATGTTTCCCTAGTGGAGGTCTATAAGTGCGTGCGTTATTATTATTAATATTAATTATTTATTGCTGTTACCATATTTCAACAATTTATAAGTATGCATTCAGCTTAAATTTTTTCGCGTTTATCCCCGTTTTGTTAAGTTAGTACACAACTTGTAATGCAGAAAAATTCAATACAAGTTGAGCAATTTCATTTCGAAAATCCCAAGTTAGTATCGATTACATCGGTTGTCGTGCTTTCTATGCACACTTTTAAATTAAAAAAGTTCCACTTTAACGTCTTTTCAAAAGATTACGAGCGAACAACAAAAGTTTCGCGTTGATTGGTAGAAGCCACTCTTTTGAAAACTTTTTTCCGCATTTAGAGGAATTTTACTTACGAACTAAAAGTGTTGTAGCTACCTCTACTATGAAATTGACCAGGGACAAGTCCGTATTTCACAAATTTAAATGGTAAATTGTAGAAATATTGAAGAAACAAAACATGTAGCTGCCTTTATAGAACAACGCAGTATTGCAGAATAGTATATAGCGACGACAAGCTAGCATTTACGTAAAAAATTTATACTTAACGGATGCTTCATTCACGATGCAATTTCGCTTCCTCTGCTCGTCGCAGTATTCTCCTAAGACCCAGTAAAATACAATGGGAAAAGCGTTAAACGCCCTATGTACATTAAAATGTACTAAATATAATATTATATGTCTCATACACAAGCAAGTATGCCCTCAGTTTTGTATGAAAGTAATTATTTGTTATGCAAGGCTGCAAAGTTGTTATTTGACGCGACTACTTGTATTGAAACCTGAAGCGAAGCGAAGGATTCTAAGATTGAAGGTCCAAAAATAGAATCCTGAGACGCAAAACAACTTTGCTGCCGAGCGAAACACGCAACTTTTCAACTTGCTATAGTTAGGAAAATAGTAGATGAAAGAAAAACAGTTGATTTATAACAAATCAGTTTCAATGAACTAAATTAGTTATCGTTGTCAGTTTAACAGTCAACAAATAAAAAGAATAAAATATACCAACGGATTTACATTACATAATAATGTACGACAAATCGCATAGTTGAATGTGTCATTACGTCTTTTTTTCATCGAAAGAAAAAGTTAGATGCACCCAGTCCATCGTCAAGTTCGAATTTCAAAAACTTTTTCCACGTTGGCGTGGAAAAAACGCTTTTGCGCGCATACTTTTAATGAGAAAGAAAACCTTTCCGAGCTAGTGAGGTGAAAACGTATTTTTCTGGATACCTTATGATCATGTAGAATACATAGCGCTAAATTTGAATGCAATATTTCCACTAGTTTGTTATAATTATTAATACAACTTTAGACTTTTTAGTCGTAGCGCCATCCATCGTTGAAAGACCAAGTACAAAGACACGACGCAAGCACATAGAAAAATTCGTGAGGTCCGTTGGTTCGTTCCGTGGCTTAGTTGGTATAGCGTCTGGCACGGTATGCAAGAAGACGTCGATTCGAATCTGACCAGATCGAAGGAATTTTTTCTGAGTGTTTTTTCTGAGTGTTTGATCTTTGTATTAATAATTATAACAAACTAGTGGAGTAATTTCACAAAAAATAATTGAATATCAATCCAATAAAAATTTAATTAATGCAATATTTCCATTAAAATGTGCACTGGGTGTTTACGTTATCACAGAAATAATATTGTCTGGGTCTGAACCACTTCACATCTCATGTACATTTTGATGTACTTGGGGTTATGCGTACCTAATAGGGTGGGTCACCTTAGTTTTTTGTTTTTTTTTTGTATTCTAATAGCACTAAAATCTTGCCAAATGGTAAATTAGAACTAAATACTAAGTTTTATCGTCATTAACGAATGTTTCCTGCCTCCGGATTGATGTTTTAAATTCATGAAAATCTCAAAATTGAGGGTTATGATTTTTGTAATATAAATGTTGTTATGTATTTATTATTTAAAATTTTTGATTCAGTCTAGTAAAACACAATGATCGAAAACTAAAAACAATTAAAATGATTATTTTTAGAGATGTACCCAAAAAATTAAAAATAGAAACAAACGACTTCACTTTACACTAAGTCTCTTTTTAAACTGTTAAAATCCTTCTTCCTATCAAACTTTCACAATAATTTGTCAAATTTTCACAACAAATTGAACATTCTTCAAATATAACTGCTGATATTATTCGGTGCAAATAAAGTTGGTCAGAACTTAAATCTTTTACGTTAATTGGCGGCAGTTCTCTTGGAATACTTTGAAATGACACCACGGGCTTCTCTTCACAACTTTCTAAAGCTTTTCCAATGAATCCCATATAACTATGCGGACCTGTAGTATTACCGTCTAAATGGGTAAAAAGATGACGTAATGGTAATTCATTCATATGTAGTAGACAAATAATCCATTGTAGGGTATAGCTAATTTTTTTTCAAATAAATATATAATTCCTCCCAATTTTCCAACATTAACATTTGTGCCGTCACAGCCGATAGTCATCAAATGATCCAAAGATATGTCATTTGTTTTGAAAAAATTGATAATTTCCTTTTGGATGAGTTGAATTTTGATTTTTGAATTGTTGATTTGTTGAGTACCAGCAGAAGGAGAAATATACCCTAAGAACTTGGTGTCTGGCTCACGAATCAAAGTTATGTGCTCTTCCAAAATTATTTCTTTGTAATATTTCTCACCCTTTTTCCTGGCATCCACTGCTTTATCTTTTCGGCCATTGAAGTACAGTGCATTTAGTTACCAAATTACTCTATTTTTCACAAGATTTTCACGGGCTTTCTTTCGTTCTCTTCTGAGTTTGTTTTAGTCAATTATAGACTTTTGTGACTCCTGTAAAACCACTGAAGCAATTGCAGCGGCTGCTCTGTCGGAAACTATATAGCGGTCGCAAGTTTGAGATAACATAGAAAAATTAATCGATGGCCGTGCCTGTTGTTTCTTAAAGGTATGAACGCGGGTGACAAAATCAACGCTATCACTGGAAGCATCTGATAATGACGAAGATGTATTTAGAGACATTGTAGACGTTGGTAATGTTGCCTCAGCATTACTTTCAGCTCGAACAATACCTGAACTTTCCCTTTTCAATTTTCTTTTAAGACTCTTCTGGACTTTCCTTGTTGTAGTTTTATCTGTGTTTCCAATCATTATTTTTCTTGCAGATCTTTGGTCAGAAAGAAAGCTTCGCTCATTAGGTGAGACTTTTCTATTGTTAGGACAAATGCATTTGGCAAAATCAGAGCATTTACATGATGAAATATCAAAAAGTAGTTTGGCAGAACAAAGAGATTCTTCTAACATTTTCTTAGGTATTTTAGGGTAGCATTTTAACAAACTTTTACACTTTTGATGATATGCTTTCAACATCTGTGTAACTCTTGTATGGGAAACAGTCGGCAACAAAGCTTTTTTCCACACATTTTCCACTTTAACAGTCACTATTTCCGGAAAAGTTGGTTCTTTTTTGTGTTTCTAGCACTTTTTAAGTGGGTTCTCGTCCATTTGTAACATTTAATTACTTCTTCATATGTTGGTAACATATTATCATTTAGATCACACATATTACGAAACAGAGGACATTTCCAAGCTTTACGTGTACGATCTATGGTGAAGAATAAAATAATATTCAAGTGATACGTACTTCTAATCACTTCACTTCAATGCAACTGAATGACTAAAAACTGCTTAAAAACCATCGTATTGTACCGGTCTCCAGCAAAAACTACGTCTACCCTCAGTTAACTTTTGTTTACAAAATGTTCTTATATTTATTGTCTGGTATAATTTGATACAAAACTTTGACAAAATACAAAGTAAAGTTTGTTTTAGTGTTTAAAGATTTGTTATAAAACTTCACCAAAAAAAGACTAAAAATCATTATTTGATAGTCAATCCGGAGGTTATTGTATTACTCAGAATGCAATTATATTTTAGAGAGCGTATTTTGGGTGCAAATGGCACATAATGAACACTATTAGATCTTAAAGCAAATAATTTTTTTTGACCCACTCTAGTACCTTTCAAAATCATAGTATTCTGCAATACTGCGTTATTGTATACAAGCAGTGATATGTATATACTGTCACCGCAAAGTCATGGCAGTTAACATGTTTACAACGCTTTTGTAGTGCGATTCACGTAAGTAAAAGCTATCAAAATCGTTAAAGTTACGTAGTCGTTCGATCGAACTCCTATCCAAAATGGGTATTCACGTATCACTTGAACGAACATTGATATGAGTAGAATCGAAACGTAACGACTAATAAACGACATCTTGGATTGTGAAGTTTGACGTTTGGTCGTCGAAAGTCTATTGAAAGAACGTGAATACGAAAAAGCAGTTCAACGACTAAATATCGTAACGGTTTGATTACGTGAATCACCCCCCTGATCGCTTACAAGCGGCCGAATCGAGGCGACAAATGTATCCACTTGCACTAAATTTAATATATTTAGGGTCGTATTCTAGAACTCTACTCAATGCTCAAGTCAGGATTGCACTAGAAATACGACCCTAGTGGCAGGGACTTGAGTATGATTTCGAGTGCTTTAAATCATACTCAAATCCTGACTTGAGCATTGAGTAGAGTTCTAGAATACGACCCTAAGAGTGTCTTTTGCATTACAAACATTGGTTTAGACGTCCATTTTCATAGAAACCAGCAATATTAGCGGCCTACCGCTGTAGTATTGCTTGAGCAGTACCTTATTTACCATGTTTTTGGCCACGCCACGATCTCGCTAGATAGGCGAAAAAATATCGTATACATATGCCTTTCCTAACGCAGTAGATCTTTTATAAGTCAAGTAAAACCCAGAAACATTATACATACTATCTAATTTTAAGCGTGTAAATCATATCCATTTACATTAAATCAATTACCCTCTGAAATAAATAAAAACTTAACACCTATTTAATTACTAATATCACACATTTGTATAATTCAGTTTTTGTATAAACATAAAAATAAGAACAAGAAGTAAAATATTTGGGCGTTATTTGTTACTCAGCGCCAAACAACTGCGATTCTGGTGTCTATATAAACTGCGTTTATTTAATATAACTGATTTTATTATCGCAATTGCCACCGCAATAGCTTAAACCAGGCGACCGTTCTGAATAACAAAAACATGTTAATCATTTCGTGCTGAAATATCTTATACTAAGATGGTATTAGCGCCTATTTTCTGTACTACAAGGCCGATTTATAAGTCATATGGAATGGAAGCAAAGTTTTGTAATACATTTATACATAGCACAACGAACGTTATGTCTATTATGTAACGTACAAACTAAACACGATACGGTAGCGGCGGGAATTCTTGAAATTGCGCAAGAATTCTTTACAAAACGCGAGTCCTGTTTTCTGGCTGGTATCTAGTTTCTACTTTACACAATTCACATAATCTTTATGCTATTATATGCTAAGTATTCCGTTCTGCGGCAATGTAAATTGAACCTAAGATATATACAGAGTAATTTGTAAAATACTAACAACGTCAGAGGACTAAACATATTACTGAAATCATAAACTTCTTCAACTTACAACATAATAAATTTACCAGAAGTAACCTTTTCATTTTTGTTGGACTCTGTGATACTTATTCGGCCTGTATTTGGTAGTAAGGTAGTAAGACTGGCCGAACGGTTACTATGCTGGTCTGCTACGCAGAAGTTTCGGGTTCGATTCCTGGGCCGGAAGAAATATTTACATCGCCTACGTTTATTTCTCTCGTGAGTTTGAGTGTATTTTGTCGTTGTATATGGCACCCTCAATGCAGGGTTTCTGTAGCGTGCGACTATGAGTATGTGAGTTATTATTATTAGGGTGCTTTACAGGTCTGGCGAATGTGCCCCAAATGGGCTTACTTGCAAAAGGCTCGTGAGCTATACACGTGCATTATGTGCAGCACGCGCGCAGCGCACACAAGTAAAAGCACAACAAACATGCAAGCTGTAAAAACATGCAAGCTGCTTCCCCGTCGACCCGCACCCGCGGTTATGGAACCGGCGATGTTTTCTTCTAAAAGTTATTGTTTATGACGTTCGTTATACAGTCCTGCAGGGTTGTTAGTATTTTACAAATAACCCTGTATATAATTCTGCGTGGATCACCATTTTTGCTATCAGCACAAGATTCATTCTCAAGCGTCAACTATGTCTGTATTTTTCCGCGCAGACTTTTTCACTTCTTCTTAAGTTGTAAGTGCTGAGGTGAGCCTTAGTCTAGTCTTTACAAGGACGAAAATATTGTTATATTATATTGGTATCCATTATGTACTTACTTAATGTACGTATTAAGTCTGTTTTATAAACGTAATTATAGACAGTCTAAAAGATAAGTTAGTTCTTAGTATTTAAATTCACGTGGCGTCTCTTGCGCTGTTTCTTTGATGTTTTGCTGAAACAATAAAAAAATATGAATAACTTTATTCAAATGTTAAATCACGTAATAATATGCAAATAGCCTAATGATTGACCTACTGCCTCTCAAGAATAGGGTCGTGGGTTCGCACCTGTAGGGCTACCACGACAGAGTGACGTAAAACGCGAAATCTCTATGCGACAATAGCAGTATCTCGCGCTTTATGTAGCTCTCGCGCAAGTGATAAGAAGTTATGTGAGAAATTCAGTTTGGAATTTATCACTGCGGATCGGGAATTTGGAATTTATTGGGAATTTATTTCCCAATGCAGATTGGGAACTTAACACACATCAAAATACTTTGCGGATGTGTGCAGGTGTTTTCACGGTGATTTGCTTTACCAAAAACCTCGAAATTTGATGTGTATGAAGACCCCAATCGGCATTCGACTCGCGTGGAAAGTACAGCTCAAACCTTCCCATCTTGAGAGGAGGTCTGTGCCCAACAGTAGGACACTATTATATAGGCTAACTATAATATTCACCTTTTAATGTTAGCACGTTGTATCGTAGTCATATAAGTCATTAATTCATAATACTATGTAATTTAGCATCAAGGGCTCTGGCTTTATTTCAGAATGTATTTTTTTACAAACGCAAATAAAGCCATTTGAAAAAAATTATATCGTATACTATAAGTGTTCTATTTAGTGCAGTTGATATATAGAAAAATCATTAGTACATATAAGTACCTATTGAATACATCGCAGAAAGATAATAATTAGATATGATTAGAAAATAAATCTACATCTAACAGAGACATTAATCAAGAAAAAGAATGACCGTAAAATCATATTATACTCACCGGTATGCAAAAACAGATGATTCTTCAGATTAGTATGCTTCGAGAAGCCTCTAGAGCAGATATGACATTTGTAAGGCCAGGATCCGCTGTGGACGTACATGTGGCTCTTCAGGTCACCAGGAGTCGGGAATGATTTCGAACAGAGACTGCATTTGTGGGGCTTCTCCTGTGAAAGATGAAGCCATGTTTAGATCGAGCAGTAGATGTTGTATTTATTAAACTTACATCTTTTTTAGGAATATTTTTTTATAATACCAAGTGACGGGACGAACAAATTGTTCGCCTGGTGGTAAGCGAGACGCCTGTCCATAGCAGTTACAGCGCCATTCAGAGCTTTAAATCGCTAAGATCTAAGGAGCACTGCCTCTACACTCGTCACTACACACAATATTGCAAAATATTGCGGTTAATAATGACAAAATTATTGTATACAAATGTAGTAATAAATGAGGCGTGGTCATAATCAAGATAAATCAAATAAAGAAGATTGCGTAGGTGAAATCTATAGATATTACAGTGTAGCAAGCTCCTGTATAATAAGACAGCCTATAACATTCTTGTTAAAAAAATACATTAAGGACAGATAATGCTGAAGATGTTGAAATGTGTATAAAATAAAACATAACAACGAAAATACAACATCAATCCCATACCGTACAGTCTCACAGACTCATCTTGAACAAAAACTCACAATGACCGTAAAAAGAAAACAAAATCAATCTTAGGAGACAATAAAACGGCCAATAATCATCATCTTCAATAATCAAAGTCATGACATTGCACATCAGACATGTACCGTGCAAATGAATTTATAATGAACGACGGGTGCGGTGCTTTGTTCAAACTCTTTGATGTTCTGTTCAAACATTATTGCAATGCCAGTTGTTTAGTCAAGTCAAGCTTTAAGCCATTCCCAATCGGACCACTAAAGGAAACTGTTCTCATTGATTCTGGTCTGGTTGTTCTGCGTTGTGCCTTAGTGGTACCTAAATTTTGTTACTCTGAGAATCATAATAATAGAAGACCTTAATTAAAACGAATAAACCTTATAATAACATATATTATTATTATGTCTCTTTAAGGTGATTGGAATGAAATCGTTAATAAAAAAAAATGTTATATTTAATCAAGTTTTAATATATTTACTGAGGAACAAAAGACAATATATAAATTTAATCATCGTATATATTTCCAGATTTAATCAATTACAATTTCAAATTAATCGAATATTCTGATAATTAATGAGTTAACAAAGTAACGTTAATAATAAAATAAAATGTATTGAAATGAATATAAGCTTTATATTTAGGTAATTATGACGAATTTATTACAAAGCTAAAAAAACTGTAAAAATTAAAAAAATGAATGTTAGTATATCTTCATATTCTAATATTAGACCAGTGGAATATTATAAATGTAAACACAGCATACAGCAACGTCCATTAAAGGCTTACGACAAAACGCAGGTGCCTGCCAATCTCTGTAATATGGTCGGCTTTTAGTACAGTATCTTGCCAGTATCATAATAAGGTACGTATGAACGGGGCTTCAGATTAAGTAAAATATCAGATGATTTTTTTTTACTTATACACGTACAAACTAACTGATAAGAGAATAATTTCTTAATAATTCGCATTAAAATTTTTTCAAGTACAACAAGGCTTGCTGTAATGCAAATTTGTAACATAAAATTGTAATTACGAATTTGATCTTACGGTAAAAAATAACTTAACATTACTGGAAGTATTTAAAGTAATTAAATGCCATATTTGAAGAACAGTATCCAAGCAGAACTTGCTTTTTGGGTTAAAATAATGTTGCAGTGTTATACGGTATTTTAAAGATAAGATACTGAGAACAAAGTACCGTAAAGTAAATATGAAAATCACACTTGAATTGAAATTAAAAAAACCCCGCTACAAAAAAGTATACAAAAAATCAATAAACTCACCATCTGTAAACTAACAACTTATTGCGACCAATTGAATGAGCCCAAACATGATAGTTCTACTGTAGGTATTGAGATTTTTGTCATTTGCTGTGCTCTTAGAAGGTCCATAATATAAATATTAGACAAAATCAAAAACGTTGCTCGAAACTAGCTACGCTCGGAATTTCTCTGAAGGACAAGGTAGGGAACGAGGTTATCCGACAGAGAACCAAGGTCATCGACATAGCTGGTAGAATAGCAAGCTAAAGTGGCAGTGAAGAATCGACAACCGATGGGAGAAACGAGTTCTTGATTGGAGACCACGGCTCAGCAAACGTAATGTACGACGCCCTCTGACAAATGGAGTGGCGAGCTGAGGACCAGGCGAAATGACGCGCATTGGGAGAGGCCTATGTTCAGCAGTGGACTGTGATAGGCTAATGATGATGATGATGATATACGTTGCTCTGATCCCAATATAGACCAATATAGAAAAGTTAGCCTTTCCACATTGCGTAGCATTAGAGCTCCTTGTAAAGAGTTCGTCCAGGGAAGTACAGCCATCTTACCTATTTTTGCCGCCAAGCAGTTATAATATGAGAATTACAGTGTTCCTATTTTGAAGTGTAAGGGTGCTGGTGAAATTACAGGCACATTCGACTTGTCAACTTCTGTCTCGGGGTGAAGGGCGCAGTGGCAGTTACCTTCAAATCTTTGCAATTTAAAGCTCTAAGTGGCACTGCAACTGTTATGGACAGGCGTATAGCTTATCATCAAGTGTACGACTTGTTGGTGTCGTCACTTGATATTATGTAAAAAAAGTACTGTGTGAGTAGTTGAGGAGTTGGGTAGACTGCAGATGGTCCTGGTTGCAGCATCAAATCAAGGTTGCTGTATTATTGTAATGTCATCGGATTCCCATAGTACTTATGAGAAATTTCAAGCCGAATGGGCAACTGGAAGGTAAATATATAACTATATTTTATGTCATGTAATGTAACAGAAAGACAGGCTTTATTTATTTAATGTTATTTTAATTATTATCCTGACATGACGTCTCAGTCTGGTTGCACTGGCCGTGATACGTGATACGGACACACTAAGCACGTCAGTACATTTTACATAACATATATAAAATCCCTGAATGATATGCGTTGTATCGTATCGTATCTTAAATCACACACACACACACACACACACACACATGCACGCACGCACGCTTACACGCACGCACGCATACACGCACGCACGCACCCACGCACGCACACACGCCCGCCAGCCCGCCCGAGCACGCACGCACGCACGCACACACGCCCACCAGCAAGCCCGAGCACGCACGCACGCACGCACTTCACTTGTAATTGCTCAATCATAGCTATTAAGTCTACCCTGGGGTGGAGACCTGGTTACCTGAGATACATGTTTTCCTGGTTCAGGGACCAGCCTCCACAACCAGATTATATTTTGATGTCATGTAAAGCGTCTGTTTTATTTTTACATGCACTGTTTGTGGAGACAACAAATGATTTATTATTAGTATCATAAAGAAATACCAACGATCTACGTCAAATTAAATTCAGAAGCTCAATATTCTAGAAACAGTACAAACATAATGTTCATTGCATTATTTCGCCGCATTAGATGTGGTCACAAAATGAACACGAATAAACGACAGATTTAACTTTTATAATATAAAACAATGAGTATGGTACTTGACGCAAGATTATTAGTGATGTGAAAAGAATTTTACGTTTTGAATATCGATACTTTTGATTTGATTTAATAATTAAATATCTTGTTTGGTATCACCTATCTCTTTAACTACATCAAAAGTAAGTTAAAATTATATTTAAATAAGACATTAAATGAAAGAAATAGTGTAAGTAGTGTTCAATTCCCGGCAAGACAATTCGAAATGAACTTTCTAAATTAATTCCAGTCAAGGTATTCCACATATCCAGAGTTAAATTCATGGCTCTAGTACAAATAGTATAGGGAATTGACTCGTTTGAGATCATGTACGTAAATTGGTGTGGTATTTTTTTATACAATACCAAGTGACGAGACAAACAAGTCGTGCGCCTGGTGGTAAGCGACACACCTGTCCATAACAGTTGCAGTACCGCTCAGACCTTTAAATAGCTAAGATCAGAGGGGCACTGTCACAGTGCACGTCACTTTGAGACATAAGATGACAAGTCTTCAAAACACAGTAGTGCAGACATTACCGCTTGGCGGTAGAAATAGATAAGGTGACAGTACTTCCCTTTACTAACTCTTTCACAAGTAACTCTACTACTACTATGGTATCATAATTATTATTAATATGAATTTAAAATAGTTCTTTTTTAACCCTCGAAAGATAACCATATTTCATAGTAGTTAAAGATAACCATACGTCGCGTCGATTCGGCGTGTCACCGTTTAAGTACACATAATTTTGATTGTGTGTACATTTTTTTGTGCCTGTAGTAATGTATCAATAAAAGAGTCATTTGCTATGTATAAACAAAACATTGATGATTATTTGTATTTTTATTTAAAAAAATCGATGTGTATCAAAAATAGGTCTTTCTCACAAAACTTCGTCACGTCATTTCCTTGTAATAACATAGCCTGTAGTTTTTTTTTTATTAATCATAAAAAATATATACATTTGTTAGCGCATAAATCACAAAAACATAACACCTATAAAATACAAAAACTAGCGCAAAAGATAACCATACGTCATTTCGACTTACGGAAGGTAGGTATATTACTTATATAAGTAAAATACTTACCTGACGCACACTAACGTTTTCTGCATGCTGTACAGGTCAATTGAGTTAGCAGGAATGGTACATGCATTAGTGCCTAATACGAACGAATTAAAACGATTTTTCAAAATCGTACATGTCGTTTCAGCGTAGGTTATCTTTCTAGGGTTAATACAGATAATAATCCTAATGACCTAAGTTGTTACAAAACTGATTTCATAATTTTGATTTTCTAAAGTATTTGTCCAGTAAAAGGTCCAACAATATCGACATCAGTGAGAACAGATATTTTTAGAACAGTTATATTTTCGATATCAGTAACAACAAAGCTTTTATTACCAGCTTCACTAAAAACTATAGGCTCGATTTTATGATTTTATTGTACAAAATTACAAAACGTGATACAAAACGTTGATGACAATGACGACCTGAGAGCCAAATTGAATAAACCATATCGTCGTTTCACTGCGGCTTCCCATG